ATATTACTATCACACCATTTCTTTATCTTCTCAAGTTCCTGTGAAACCTGTCCAGAGAGTTGCTGTAGGTTTTCACCCGATGCCCATATGGTAGTGTCATCAGCAAATAAAACCACTTTCACTAAATCAGAAACCTTGCATATATCGTTAATGTATAATATAAATAATTTAGGTCCCAAAACAGAACCCTGAGGCACTCCACATACAATGTCCAGCTCACTCGATTGGTATTCACCCAACTTCACAAATTGACGCCTCTGTGTCAAATAACTTCTAATCCATTTCAGAGCCATTCCTCTGATCCCATATTTTTCTAACTTGTCCATTAATAATTCATGATTGATTGTGTCAAATGCTTTTTTTAGGTTAATAAATATTCCTATCGTGTATTTCTTCTCATCCATAGCACTTGTAATGTCCTCCATCAAGTCGGATGAACCTGTGGTGCAGTGACAACTGCACCACAGGTTAATTCACAGAAATAATGAAAATGCTGGACTGTTTAAAAGGTTTATTTCTTGATGCATCTGACTTGGAATGAGAGCAAATCTAATAAATCTAATTAAGAAAGATATTTGGTATTTCAGATATTTAATCCCTCGTGCTTCCATTCTGACTGAATTCATTGAATGGAAAACTAGCAATAACGGATTTGTTCTCCCACTGATGAAAAATATATTGTGTAAAGATTATATTCTTTTTCTTTTAAAGGTTCCAAAATTTTACTAAGAATAATTTCATTTTTTTAAAGAGAAGAATGATGACATTACTATCAACTTGGGTGTTTTAACTGTAAATGTAAGCCGAAGCAGCCATTATTCACTTTTCTAAGTCCATCTGATTATTAAACATGACAGTGATCATTTTTATTTTGCTTTGTAATTACCACCACATGGCGCCAGTGTCATGTTTAGTGTTTAGCAAGTCACATTATGATGACTCTACATTGACATAAATGCAATATAAGATGACATTTAATGATAGACTGGAGGGTTAGGGTATCCTAACACTATGATACTGCAGTGCATATACAGTATGCATTTACTATATAAAACACAACAGTGAACATAGAAAGAGTGAAGCACTTTTGATACTAAAAATACAAACAAACTATATACTGATGTTTGCTCTGTGTCTATCAGTCTGGCAGCTCTGCCACTGCAAACATCAAAACCAGCTTGACCTTTTCTCTGTTCCTGATCTTTCCCACTGTAACCTGTATATCTTACATCCATCAGCAGCAGATGCTGCTCCACTGTCAAATGGCCTACAAAGCAAATTGCACTACTTTAATCCTATGTGTAGCCAGCATTAAAAATTGGATTGAGATGGATAAGATTAGATTATGTAAACGTGTCATTTAGGCTTTAACATAATCTCCTTTTACTCCCAGCAAGCATCAAGCCTCCCAGTAGATGACGGATACACTTTGAATAGAAGTTGTCTTATTTATGTCCTCTTCTTTTTGGATTTGATCCTTTTTTTATTATGAATATTGCACATTTTCTTTCCGTGGGGATTATGCAGTTTCACACTGGGAAAACCTTTGGGGTGTTCTTACAGGAAACATTTTTGGCTATATGGCCTTAGTACAAGATCACTGTCTGAAGCTGGTGGCTTTTACACTGAATTCTGTTCCTTTGTGGCTAGAAATTTGATTCATATCAAGCACAGCTACATCACCTGTAACCAAATTAAACTGAGTGCTTTTAGGAAGTTGCTATCTCTGCATTAGAGGGCAGTTGGCGCTGTTGGCCAATGTGTCTAACTGCAGTAGTGTGTTCATTTTTAAGTAGGTCTGCTATATAAAAGATGTTGTTTAGAAGCACACAAATCCTAAAATTGAAGTAAATACTAATATGTTAAATAAATTAATTACAGCTGAAAAGATTTAATTCAGTTCAATTCAATTAATTTCAATTCAATTTTTATTTGTATAGCTCCAAATCAACAAAAGTTATCTCAGGACTGTTATGAGTTGGTCTTAGTACCTGTGTTCGCGCTTTATTTTGGTATTATTTCCTGTTCCGCTTCACCTCTCCTGCCCCAGCTTCACCACAGTTTCCAATCAGCAGTGACTAGCTCTACCTGTTGCTAGTTATTCCCCAGTCCTTCACCCATACAGTATATACTCTGTCCTTTTCTCCTCAGTCAGTGCTGGTCCGTTCACTCTGTTGGCTCACGTTGTCCTGTGTGAGTAATCTCCAGTCATGCACCAGTTCCCCTCACCAAGATCCAGCGCTTTTATATTTACCTGTGCTCCACGCCACTGCCGGGCCAGCACCTATACCTCTCACTCATCTACCTGTCCCCCTCGATTACAACTTGCCTTCACTTGCTGCCATCTGGTCACCTCCAGTCCTGCAACCTCCACTCACCCGGGCCTCTCACCCCCACCTGGATATGCCAGCTCCAGCAAAATTTCCACTCAGCTTCCCTTCTGCCAGCAATGCCGATCCAACATCAGGTGATTCATAAGTATACATGGTATTAGAATGTCTTAGTTACAGAAATAGGTTTCGGTATTAAGTACATATTTAAGGGTATAGAATGATCCTTGTCATGGTCAAAACAAACAATGTTATGTGGACTGATGTTTGGAAGCAGGAAATAAACAGCAGTTTCCTATTTTAAAGTCTCATGTTTTGTAGACCTATTCATTCAGCCAGAACTCCTACATGGGCTATGTTGCTCTGTAACAATGTCACCTGACTACCTTTGCTTTGTTCAAGTTATTACAGCCACTAGTGGACACTGGCACTTTAACATAAATATTCCATTTGCATTTGCTAAAAAGACTGATGCTGTCTCACAGAACCACTAGATGTCACTTAAAAAATAATCATAGGAGGAACCATCGAGTCCGTTCTCTGCTCATCCATCACTGTCTGGTTTGGCTCAGCAACCTAACAGGACAAGTACAGACTTCAGCGGACAGTCAGGACTGCAGAAAAGGTAATTGGTGTGAACCTGCCCTCCATGGAGGACCTGTACACCTCATGGGTCAAAGGGAGGGCAGAGAAGATTTCTGCAGACCCCTCACACCTTGGACACAAACTGTTTGAACTCCCCCCCTCTGGACAGAGCTACAGGTCACTGTGCACCAAGACAACCAGGCACAAGGACAGTTTCTTCCCTGACCTGTAGTGGCCATATAGGCACATGAACTTATATACTGAAAAACTCAAAAATGTGATTCATTTTGCCTAGTAATTTGTACGTATTCTGGGTCAACCTAGTTGCCTCTGATGCATCTGTCTGCCAGACAGACTCCTTCTCTAACTTTTTAAATTTCATTTGAAAACATATCATTGCTGTCTGGCTTTTCCTGACTAACAGTGGTTATAGCCTTATTGTGGTAATGTCGGTTATTTTATGTATCTGTTTATTTTTTTTGTCTTATCATGTTTGTTTTTATGTTTATCTTTATGTGTTTATGTTGTTTTTTAATTATTCTTGTACAACACTGGTCAGTGGCTGTTGCTTTTAAATGTCCTAGATAAAAATCTTAAAAGATTGTGGCTTGGGTTTAAATGCTTACCTTAAAAAACAATGTTTTGAATGTTTTGCCATTTTACATTTTGTAGTGAACATAAAAATATAATGTTGACAGTATTAATACAGTCTAATACAACAGTCTTGTAATAAATCCTCATTCATGAAGGTGTTATCATTCAGTTTTTGTTGAAATTGTTGTAGAGTGGTGTTGATTCAACTGTGTGGTGAAACACCTGTCATTTGTTATATTGAGGTGTACAGTACATAATAAACTGGTGCCAGAGTTATATATCCATGTGTATAAGTGGATGCGAGTTCTTCCTACACCATGCTAGTTGATTAAAGAGCTGCTTACATTCCCATGGCAGATCTTAAGCAGTTATTAGAGGCCCCAGCAGCTTTATATAGGGTCCTGTTAAAGTGGCCTGTAATGCAGTCAGCATACAGTAAGACAAAATCTCTCTATCTCTCTACCCCCTCACATGCACAGATACACTTGCCACATATCAGGCTGCTATTTGTTCTTCAGGCCGAGCCTGTGCTCTTGGGTATCAGCTTTATCCTTCAGCTCAATCTGGCCTGCATCTGCTGGGGAGGAATTACACTGATCTACTGTCACCCAGTACCCTCTCCACACTACACCCACCCCCACCACCATGCTGTTATAGCTGCAGAAATGCACTTCTCAGAAGTCACTGAATCACAATACATATGTATGTAACAAGGTGGTAACAAAGCCCTGAAAACTAAAGCATTTACTGCAGCAACCCTGCTGTAGAAGTCAGTTTTGGGCAGCAGGGGATGTAGTTTCCCCATCGTGGGGAGTGTCCTTTAAGATGAAGAAGAAAGGACTGCTGGGCAAATACAAGGAAGTATGACCAAAAGCCCGGGTTAACTGAGAAAGGGTTTGTGATTGTCAGCAGTGAGATAAAGTATGAATAATCTTATGTAATTTAAGAACTTTCTGATCAAATATCACAATGTCCTATTAAACTGATGTATGAATGCATAGAAATCCATATTTTGTGTCATTGTGGGTCCAGTATTACAGATGCAGCTGGATTTAAAATGCTGCATGTGGGCCATCTAGGCTTGTCATTTGCAAATTAGGTGCCACTGCCATATTTTGCTCCAGTATTTTGCTGCCATATTTATTGCTACAAATCTGGAGTGGGCTTTCTCCTTTTCTTTTAGTGAGTACAATACAATACAGCAGTGGTGAAGAGTGGCCTGCCTGTAGATCCTTTGGAGCCGAGATAGCTACATCTGACAATGTAGAAGACTAAGGAGCTCTCTGGAGCATGCTGGTGCCTTGGACGTAGTGTGGAAGAATGACTACCTGACAACGAGGGACCAGTTCTGGAGGGTGAAGAGGACGATGCCCGAGGTTGTTGACGGATGTAGAGACTACAGGCTGGTGTGGCCATCACTCAGGAGCATCGATTGAACTCTTTCTATGACAAGTATTTTCTTTTCCTGTGACCTATAGACTATGTGTTGAATTAAGACTGAAATACTTTGTTGGTGTAAAGATAACCATGTCACACCCACAGTGATAATAACATAGTAGCAGATGAAAAAGAAAGGGGGAATAGCCCAAACAATGGGTCTGAGGATGAATCAGAACAAGTTGATGTGCAAAGACAGACAAGGGAATAAGCTAAAAAGCAACAAGATGTCATGATGACTGTATCCTCATTGAGCACTGTATCTACTAGATCATATTCATGTGCCAAGGGAGTATCACATTGTGTCATTTAGTGGGGATATTGATAAGAATAAAAGCTCTGTGGCTGAATTCATTGAAAAGGTTGAACGAGTTCTTTCTGCCAGGAACCAGTCCCTGCTTGAGCAATTAGGGGAGGCACGTTTATACCAAGATGAGGGAACAGAACTGACGAGTGATTTATTTAGATACCTTAGGGAGACATTTGGAAATAAATGCAGTGCCTCCCAGTTGCTACTGGACTTCTTCTGCTGTAAACAAAAAGTGGATGAGGACATATAGGATTCTTCAATCTTCTTGTCACAAGTTTTAAAGAGTCCATGGCATGCATTTCCTTGTTTTATGACTTATCTACAAGGGAACAAAGGTGAATTATCATCTTAGAAGTGACCTAAAGCTAAAAAAAATTAGGTGTACATGTGTTCTAGTATTTCTATGCAGAAGCAAATTGACTTATACAAATCTCGAAAACTCTCGCTTGCAAGACTTTTTTTCTAACAAAATCAAGTATTACATCCATCCATCCATCCATCCATTTTAAATCCAGCTGCATCTGTAATACTGGACCCACAATGACACAAAATATGGATTTCTATGCATGTGTAGCAATATTCTTATTTTGCTTGATGTTATTGTTGTGAAGAAAAAATATTTTGAATTGAATTTTTCAAATTTATTTTATTGAGGGAAAAGTTGTTGCAGTCTGTTCAAATTTATATTTCTGGTTAAACCATTGTCAGTTATAGACTGTTCAATAAATGTTAATCCTGTTTGGCCCACAACTTAGACTGTGGTTTAATTTTCAGCCCCTTGTGTGATTGAGTTTGACACCCATGCTGTACAGCAACTGGCTGTTTTACCTGACTGGGTCTAACCTACAAGCAGCCGGCCAATGAAGCCCCCGACGGTGGTTAATGATCAGCTCATCAACGCTGGATTCCCCCAGAGCACAATACCTGCTTGTTTTGACTGCTTGAGGCCAGTGTGTCTGCAGCAGGTCACTCTGATAGAAGTTCATGAGGAGGCTTACAGTACTTGTGGGCTAAAGAAGAGTTGGCACCAAGTGTTAAAAGGGGCTAAGAGTAAAGTGAAATGCTGCAGTCATATGACCACTGATGCACAGTAGCACTTTAACCTCTAAGGAGAAGCCATTGTCACTTGAAGATATCATTCAGGTCCTCACAGAATGAGAGAAAGTTAGCACTACAGGACAAGCTAGTGAGAAGTCTGTGTCACTGGATGATGCAAGGAAAGTTCTTGCTGAACAAGGGAAAGTTATTACTGAACTGACAAAGGCAGTGAAGGATTCAGTTACTTGGGACCAAACTTCTAGCACCCCAGTAGCTAGCAAACAAAAAAATCACCAAAGTTCACAGCTGATGGAAAACCAATATGCTTTAGATGTCAAACTAAAGGTCATGTTCCAAAGCAGTGCCCACAGAACAGGCATAAAGATACAGAAAAAGCCCCTCCTTCCAGTCAGCTGGGAAACAGGAGCCTCTGGTTGCAGTGAGTTGGGCAATACAATGTTAGACACACAAATCTGAACCAACTAGAGAGCAAGTGATTAAATGTGCCATCAGCAACTGCCCAGCAGTAGATCTTAAGCTAAGCAATGTACCAGCTTCCTGTTTACTGTAAACAGGTCAGTACTGTTTCAGATAAGTTTTTAGAAAGCATCTGTTTGGCTACTTCTAGTTGACTCAAGTTAACTTCTGCCAATGGCCTTGAAATCCCCTGCCAAGTTTATCTTGAACTGGAAGTTGAGACATTGGGCCTAAAAATTCTAGACTGTGAGTTTCTTGTTTTGAAAGGCTCTGATAAAGCTGCCATAACAGAACACTGTCATTGGCATGAATGTCATTTACAGGTGTCAACAACTAGTCACTAGTCACAGTTTGATGCAGTGTTGGGAGGAACCTTGGATTTGGGGTGGAGAACTGCATTCCAGCAAATACAGACTTGTACAGTGGAGAAGAAGACCATGGCCAGTGTTTCAAAAATAGCCAAACTTGTGAAGTTACGTTTTATTGCATCTCTGCAGACATGGACCAGGTCTTTGTTGATTGGAAATATAAACAGTTTGACAGGAAAGTGCAGTCTATCCTAGACAAACTTGACATACTGTAGGAGGCACTGAGGAAGAGCAAGCTGCTCTGTGTGCCCTCCTGGCATGGTATGTATATTGATGTTCTCACAGATGATGATGATGATGATCTTGGTTTTACTGAAGAGGTGACACATGAAATCAAACTGGTTGATGATGTACCTGCCACACAGCCCTATTGGCACACCCCACCTAACCAATACATAGAACTACAAGAACTCATTTCAAAGCTACTGACAAAGGGCCTCTTCCAAGAGAGTGAGGTAAAATGCTTCTCCTGTGGTTCTAGTCCGCAAGGGTGATGGCAGCATATATCTGTGTAGACTACCAAAAGCTAGCCTGAAAACCAAGCAACATGCATTCCCCTACCCCATATCGATGAGACTTTTGATGTGTTGAAAGATGACAGATTTCTACTATCAATCTAGCAAGTGACCACCACCACTGTTAGATGAGCGGGACAGACATAAGACTTCTTTCATAACACCTTTTGGTCTTTTTGAGTATGTGCACATGCCTATGGGTGTATGCAAAAGACCTGCGACCTTTCAAAGGTTAATGCAAGCTACCATGAATTACCTGATCTTTGAGATAATGATAGTATATC